AAAAAAAAAAAAAAGAAAGAAAGAAAAAAAAAAAAAGCCGAAGCGCGGCCCCGGCGCGGCGCTGGTTCAAGCTTTATTGACAGGCGGACGGCGCGGCCGCGCGTGCGCGGGGCGGGGCCGCGCCCCCCGAGGGGCGGGGCGGGGCGGGGTGTGCTGCCCTCCCCTCAGCGCCCGGGGCACCCGCGGGGCCGGGGGTCCGCACACACACACACCCTCGGCCGGGGCTGAGCAGGCGAGGGACGGGGAGCCAGGCGGGATCTGTGGGGCGGGAGCCTGCCAGCAGCTCTGCCCGCGCCGCGGGGAGGCCGTTCCCCCGACACCGCCTCTGGTGGTGCGCAGTCCCGGTGCACAAGTCCTGTGAGGAGCGGCTGAGGGAGCTGGAGGAGCTCGCAGGCTCTTCTCGCAGGCAACAAGTGACAGGACAAGAGGACATAGTCTTAACTTGCACCAAGGGGAGGAATTTCTTCGCAGGAAGGGTGATTAGACGTTGGAATGGGCTGCCCAGGGAGGTGGTGGAGTCACCGTCCCTGGAGGCGTTTAGGGAAAGACTGGACGTGGCACTCAGTGCTCTGGGCTGGGTGACAAGGTGATGATCGGTCACAACTTGGACTTGGATGATCTTAGAAGTCTTTTGTACTTCTGTGATCTCCCTCAGAGCACTGAGGGCTCTCCCTCAAATATCTTCCCTGCCTGCCCCGAGCCCACAGCACCACAGAAGGGTCCACTGAAGGTCCAGGACTGATCTGTCTCTCACAGGGTTTTTCACCTGCACTTACACCTTAGATGGGTACCCCGAAAGGCAGCTCTACGCCTCCTGAGCATCATTCAGCCCCACAGAAAAATTGGCCAAGGCCAATTGTGTGAGGTTCAACAAGGCCAAGTACTGAGTTCTGCACCCGAGCCACAACAACCTCCTGCAGTGCCAAAGGTTGGGGGAAGAGTGGCTGGAAAGACGGAAAAGGACCTGGGGGTGCTGGTCAACAGCGGCTGCACCTTGAGTGCTGTGTCGGGTTTTGAGCCCCTCACTGCAAGAAAGACATTGAGGGGCTGGAGCAAGTCCAGAGAAAGGCAACGGAGCTGAGGAAGGAGCTGGAGCACAAGTCTGATGAGGAGCAGCTAAGGGAGCTGGGGGGGCTCAGCCTGGAGAAAAGGAGGCTCAGGGGGGACCTTCTCGCTCCCTGCAACTCCCTGACGGGAGGGTGGAGCTGGGGAGGTTCGGGCTCTGCTCCCAGGGAACAAGTGACAGGAGAAGACGACACAGCCTCAACCTGGCCAGGGGAAGTTCAGGTTGGATATCAGGAGGAATTTATTCATGGAGCAGGTTGTCAGGCATTGGAATGGGCTGGCCATAGAGGTGGTGGAGTCCCCATCCCTGGAGGTGCTGAAGAAATGACTGGGCATGGCATTCAGTGCTCTGGTCTAGTTGACAAGGTAGCGATTGGTCAAAGGTTGGACTCGGTGATATTGGAGGCCTTTTCCAACCTTAATGATTCTGTGGTTCTGTGAAAGGTGTCTGATAATGAGTGAACAGCTTCTGCTGGGCTTGGTCCAGCTCTCTGCTGCCTGGGCAGGTGGGAATCCCAATAGCAAGGCCCACAGGGTGTTCCTGCTTCCTGACAGCAGCCCAGGCTTTTACAGAAACAAGGGCAGACCACTTTCTGCGGAAGTTAACGGACAGAGAATTGATGAACGATGTCCCAAAGATGTTTTGGGTATTGAAGGAAACGTTTCCCCCAGACCTAGCCTTTTGCAAGCCAAACTGAAAAGAACACTGTACGTGTCAACTTCTCGGCTCGGCCCAAAGTACTGCAGAGAGATAACCTGCTGTTCCCTTTCATTTCTCTTCCAACAACCTGTGGAAGTGTATTGCCTGCTTTGCATTGAGTAACTGTATTGTCTGCAGTCAGCTTTACCTGTCTAGGGTTAAAGAGGCAGCTGGTGAAACACCAGGGCATTCCCTAAGGAGGGTAATCCTAAACCCAGGTATGGGAAAACGCCCAAAGAGATCAGCTCTGCAGCAATCCTCCCAGTAGGGACAGCAGAGTGAGCCCTGAGTGGGCTGTAAAACCAGTATGAGAGCTGGTTAAACTGGTCTGAGGGAAAAAAAAGGTGGCTTCAGGTAGGCAGTGTTGGTCAGGAGACCTCCCAGGCATGCAGCAGGGTGGCAGGGATGCTGGGTGGCAAATGTCCCAAAGGGAGCACAGCCAAAAACAGCTCTGGATTTACTCTGGAGGTGCTGCCAAAGGGGGTGTGAGCTGTGGAGTGCTCCTCCTGACCTGCCCTCTCAAGGGTGCTCAAGTACCGTTGGATATTTGCCTCTGTATTTTTGTCCCCCATGTTGGGAAAAAAAACCCAAGACAATCAGCAAAACTCAAAGTGTCTCTCTGAGGAATTTGATTCAAGCCAGGAAATTCAGAGGCAGCTTCCCTGTGAGATCCAGGTCAGCAGTCTTAGCTTTACAAGCTGACATCTGCCATTAGAGCCACTCCCATGATTTAACTCTTTGTTGCTGTTATTAAAAAGCTTTTTTTTTAATATAGTTTTGGCAGTTCTTTTTGGTGTTTTCATTTGGGTTTAATTTTTATTTTATCCCCTGCTTTCTGTAAATAGCTTCCTGACTGGCAGGTCTCAAGGACTAACTCTATAAAACCATTGAAATGTAGAGATTCCCCCTGTTTTCAGTGGGAGCAAAAGGGAATTACTGTTATTTAGACCTTTCTTTGAGCCTGACTGTCAGTGTCTTTGTGCATCGTGTTTCCTATTGCTAAGAGAAAGGAAAGCCTCAGTTCCTTGTCTTCCAGAGGGATCAAAAGCCTTGTGGATGAGTGTCTGCAATGGACTTTTGGGCTTCCAAGGGAAGAACAAAGTAGTAATAAGCAGTAGTATTGGCAATAGCACAACCACATTCTTCACACGAACTGAAATGCTGGCTGATCCTTCAAAAGCCTTGCTGATGCCATTACTGACTGTGCTCCAGGGAGGAAAAATGACACAGGTAAGAGCTGTTAAAGATCAAATATATACCCACTTATGCTTATATATTATCCCCTACACCCACAGCCCTGGCAGTGAGTGTGTCACCCAGCACCTTCAGCACCTAAGGAACAACTCCCTAATTCCTGAGCTTTTGGAGACTCTCTAAGTGAAGACCTTTTCACTGCCCGTGTACATACTGAGCCGCCTCTGGCTCCTGGAGATGTTTCTTTCCTGGGAGACATTTCTTTCTTGGGATTGCCTTGCACTACCAGTTCCATGATCACTGTATGCAGCCTAAGGGAAGGTTAGATGCTACTTCCTGGAGATACCTCTGTGTTGTAGCAGGAAGAAGGACGTGGATAAAGTCTCCCAGTTTTAAAGTTCACCGCAGCTGGAGCAGGGATGTGTCAGTTATCTTCCAGTTCTTGTTAGCACAAAATGAGTTATAAGAATGAATTTAATATTGACCAAGTGTTGGACAATAATTTAGAATTGTCGAAGTATTGACAACACTGTTATTAATCTCGATGGCAGGGGTACAAGAGTGAAACAGGATAGATCAGCTGTAAGAGGCTTCTCCCTGTCTCCTCCAGCCAGCAGTGTGCCCTTGCACTGCCTCCAGGGTGGAATTCTGCATTGAAGCACAACTTCAATGCAGATGGATTCAGGAAAAAGGGGAGAGTCCTGGTCTGGGGACACCTGCACCCTCATGTAGCACACCCTTCCTAGGTTCCTGCTCCCAGAGGATTGCTTGTGTTTCCTCATTTAATCTGGGTGTTACCCTTGTATGTCCTCTTAAAGGAGATATATCTGTCTGCCTTCAAAGGTGTGTGCAGCACAGCAAGGAAAGCACCTCCTGCCCAGCCAGCAAACATCACCCATTCCTGAGTGGCCTGAAACTTAGGCTGCAAACAAATCAGTTCCTCTGGGATAAGCTGTCTCCAGCAACAGTCCTTAGTGATTATTTTACACAAAGACACTGGTATTTCTGAAAGACTTATATTTTGTAAGACTGACTGTAGGAACCTGCTCTAGTTTTTCTGTATTTTCCAGCCTCCAAAGCCGGTCACTGACCATGTCCCAGCCAGCAAAGTACCAGTTCTGATCCTCTGCAAAGAGGGATGACACGCTACCTGTAGCATTAAAGGAAGGAGCAGACAAGTACTGTCTATAGATAAATGAACCTTAATATAAGATTCTACTCTTATGGGTGCATAAATCCTACTTAACATAAGCCCTGAGTTTGTGACATTTATGGTTGCAGCTCCATTTACCTGTGCAACAGGCAGCTGTAGCCAGGATGCCCAGTGGCAGCACAGACTTGGAAATCATTTAGGATGCTCTGTATGGGTCCATGTAGGGAGACTGAGACTTCTCCCACACAGAGCAACTCAAGGGCCATATGTTTGGGGGAAGTGACAGTCACCTCCCAGGCCCTGACTGCTGATGATGACTCATTAGCAAAATTATTTCTGCTTCCATTTCTGAGCCACCACCGCCACCTAATTTCCACTGGGTCTGTCAGTCCATTCAGGAGCACAGCAACCCCTGCAAGGAATTGCCACCCTGGCTTGGGAATTGCTGTTCCAGAGGTCACTAGAGAACTTTATTAATACTCATTGCATTAACCTCCCAGCTAGCCAGTGACAGAAATGCCATTTCTCCCATTTTATAGCTGAGAAAAATGAAGCGTAGACAGATCCATCACCTGGTTACAGAGTCAATGGGAATTCTTAATGCTCCATAAATCTGAAAATTAGGCTGTCAGCAACTTCTCCTGAAGCAAACCTGCAGCAAAGCTATCCAGGAGCCCCAGTTCCTACCCATCAGGTACCATCCCTCCCCGGGATACTGGGAGAAACCTGGACACATCTCTCTGAATTTCAATCCCTGCAGTCAGACACAGAGACATGAGGACCTGGAGGGGAGGGAGGATGTTTTGAGAAAGGGGTAGGAGCTAATTGCTCGTGTAGAAACTCAGGTACATGTCTGGTCATCACCTAAAACTTTACTTGAAAAAATATTTGGTCATTAAAATGTACAATTTAGGTTAACTCAGGCTGCTTGGGATATGAGTAGAGCAGAAACTATGGAGAACTGGGTTGGTTGATTTTTTTTTTCTAAATTTCTTTTCTAGTTTAATAGTGCAGAAGCAAGTAGTGCTAAGAGGGAAGAGGCTTAGTGACAACTATTATAGTTAAGATTATACAGAGTTATTATAAAGAAAGGATTTTTTTCAATGCTTTATAACACCTTTGCCACTTGCAGATGGAATTTTATGCCTCAGCCTCGGGCTAACTCCAAGCTGGCACAGAGATTTTAAGCAAAAATGGCTTACCCACTTTGAGAAATGAAGAATCAGCGAACTGAAATATTAACATTTACTGCTGTGTTTAAAAAGCCCTGATCTTTTACAGAAAAAAAAAAAAAAACAAAAGGAAAAGGTATCTGGGAGAAGAGTCATCTGTACACTGCAAACAGCTACATCATTCAGGTCTTCTGAAGAGGAATTTGACTTGATTAAGCTAAAATGAGGTTAAAATAATTTGGTGATTCTTCTGTAATACTGAAATACTGTCTCCAAAGTTTCCAGGCCCTACAGAGACCTGAAGAGAAATGTCCCGCAACTGCTGTTTCAATATGTGTGTCCTGAGGCAAAGCTACGGAGGAGCATGACTTAATTTCTGACCTACATCAGTGGAAATACCTGATTCACTGCTCAGAACTATGAAATTCCATTTACAGGGGAAAAAAAAAAGATGCTATCTTGTTATTAAACACCACACTACATGCACGTGCCCAGGGATAGAGTGAAGGTTCCCTTGTGGCTCGTCCTTTTCCTCTGAGAGCCTTTGACCTCGTATTAAAAATGGGCTTTGATGCCTGAAATGGAAGGAAAAAATTCTCCAAGCAATATTAGTATAGATAAGATGGAGAGCAGCTCTTTTAATGAAGGCCTTCAAGGTTGCTTTGCCTACAATGATATCTTCTTGTTCCGGTCCAGGTGCATATGTCCTAAATAAGATGTATTTGCTGGAGTCTTTTCCTTGAGAAGAACACTAAACAAGTCTAAAGAATTTAGAAAATTCAATATGAAGCATGAGAACAGGTTTGGTGACTGTCAACTGCTATTCTAAAGTGTGAGAAGCTTTACAGCCATATTAAAAATCCATATGTGCTAAAAATCCTAAGGCATCAGCTTTCTGGGCAAATGTTAACTAAACCCTCTGCTTGGTGTACGCAGGGCCAGAGGTGGTTTCTCTCACACACAAGCTTGGCCCAGCCTTGGTTTGTGCAAGCCCAGGTCTATCCTGGGACAGTGAAGCTCTGCTGAGCTCTCTGGTTCTCACACAGTGCAGCGGTGAGGCTCAGCTGATCCTTACCTGCTCCCATGGACACCCCCAAATCTGGCCAAACCCAGCCCCTGCTGTTGCTCCCACCCTCAGCTAATACACCATGTTTAAATACAACCATGTTCAAATTAACTCCCTGCCTAAATGTACTAACCATTTTAATAAAGATGAATTTGGTATCTATGTCTAGGCTGACTTCTCTCCCACAAAATATGATGGCATTGATGTAGTTTATGGGCCCTTCTGGTTTCAAACAGGTCTATTTAGTGGATTGCAATTGGTTTTTTGAGCATTAGCATGTGCTGGTATATCCTGAGAACTCCCTCCTTTATGTTATAGACAGCAAAAGTCATAGAATGGTTTGGGTTGGAAGGGACGTTAAAGACCATCTTGTTCCACCCCTCTGCCATGGGCAGGGACACCTTCTGCTATCCCAGGTTGCTCCAAGCCCCATCCAGCCTGGCCTTCGACACTTCCAGGGATGGGGCAGCCACAGCTTCTGGGCCAACCCAGGGCCTCCCCACCCTCACAAGGAAGAATTTCTTCCCAATATCCACGCTAGCCCTGCCTTCTGACAGTGGGAAGACATTTCCCCTAGTCATGTCACTCCATTCACTTGTCCAAAGTCCCTCTCCAGCTCTCTTGGAGACCCTTCAAGCACTGGGAGGGGCTCCAAGGTCTCCCTGGAGTCTTCTCCAGCCTCAACAACCACAGCTTTTCCAACCTCTCTCCATAGCAGAGGTGCTTCAGCCCTCTGAGCATCTCTGGGGGCTCCTCTGGACTCATTCCAGCAGCTCCACATCCTTCTGATGTTGGGCTCTCCAGAGCTGGATGCAGCAAATGATGATGTCTCACGAGAGCAGATCAGAGACGAAGAATCCCCTTCCTCACCTGCTCCCAGTGCTGCAGGGAATGCAGCCCAGGCACGGTTGGTTTCTGGACTGCCAGTGCACATGGCAGGGTCCTGTTGGACTCATCCACAAAATCCTTCTCCTCAGGACTGCTCTCAATCCATTCTCTGTCCAGCCTGTATTTGTACTTGAGATTGCCCTGATTTTTGACCTTGTTGAACTTCATGAGGTTCTCACATCTGTCTTTAGTCTTGCAACCTGTTAGGATTTACTGAGTGTCTTGCAAAAACTGATGTTTTCTTGTAGCCCCAGCTTGCCTAGATCCAGTGTTTCCCTGAGCCACGTTGCTCTGCAGCATTTTTAGGGAAGTATTTGCCTGTTCTACATGGTTACAGGGGCAGACTGAAAAAAGTGAGCTGTAAGATTTCAAAAAATCAAGAAGTGAAACACATCTCGAGAAATCTCTTTCAAATCTTAGTATTTTCAAGCCTGTTGAATGAACATCTGAGAGTTGACCAACCTGAGCATTTTGCAGTGTGCTTTCATTGATTGTGATTGATTCTCCATGTGCAGACCAATGGAGTTTGGAAACCAGGGTGAGCCCTGGGGTCTGACTGTCAGTGGAGAAATAGAGGAGAGGCAGCATCAGTGTCAGGACTTTGGGGGCACCAAAAAGTGCTGATTGCCTTGAGCAGCCTCACCTGGGACCTGCACCCACTCACCCTCTGGCAGTTGGCCCAGGCACTGTATTTAAGGTCATCCTTGAATGCCTCTGGTTTTTTGGGATGTAGGGCAGTGGTGCTTCCCTGCATCTGTGGGTGGGACCTCGTGCTTGTGCAGCCTGTTCTCCAGTCCTGCCTCGCCTTCTTCCTGGATGGACCTTGGGCCTGACTCCTCTGCTGTGCCTGGGTGTGTTGATGGACCCTGTTGCCAGCAGCCAGACCTGCCTCCTGTGCTCAGGCTGGACCCTTCTTGGTGAGTGTCCTACAGTGCTGGGGCCACCCTTGGCTGCTGGCTTGTTGTCCTGCATGGAGCAGTCCACTGATCCTTGGCTGCTTCCCCTGCTTGCTATGGTTTTTCTAAGTGGGTGGAGGGCAGGTGACAGGGGTTAGTGCTGCAAGGACCCCCCCCAAAAGAGTTAGCTGCTTGTTTTGGGTAAGCTGTAGGTGGCTGGCAGAAGTTCATAGAATCCTAGAATTGTTTGGGTTGGAGGGAATTCTGTCATCTCATTTGAACCTCCCTGCCATGGGCAGGGACACCTTTCACTAGACCAGGTTGCTCCAAGCCCTGTCCAACCTGGCCTTGAACACTTTCAGGGATGGGGCAGCCAGAGCTTCTCTGGACAACCTGTGTCATTGCTTTACCACCCTCACGGGGAGGAATTTCCTTCTCATACCTAACTAAATTGCTCCTCTTTCAATCTAAAGCTATTTCCCCTTATCCTGTCACTCCATTCCTGTGTCTGAAGTCCCTCTCCAGCTCTTTTGGAGCCCCTTTAGGTGCTGCAAGAGGCTCTAAGAGCTCCCTGGAGCCTTTTCTCCTCCAGTTTGGATAACCCCAACTCTGTCAGCCTGTCTTCATAGCAGTTTGTGGTGGGGTTTTTTTCATGTTTCCTGGTACCCTTAAATTAGTGCTCCAAGAAAAGTTCAGTGACCTTGTCACCCTCTTTGAGCTGCTGCAGGAACTCTGCACTGCCTCACTTGCCCTCTGCCAGCCCCTACTCCCTCAGCCCTGCAGGGCACAACGTGGGCTGTCACGGCCAAGGAGAAGCTGCCCTCACTGGGACAACTCTCAGCTCGGGAGCTGACGATGCGTTCATGGCAGTAGCACCCTAAAATGCTCTTTTAGCACCAGGGCCATTAGCTGGAGTAGGGAAATCCCTCAGGGGAGGGGATGGTTTTGGGAGCGAGCTGCTTCTCACTACCGGCGCTTGCCATCAGAGGGCAAGCTCAGCCCGGGCGAAGATGCTCCATACCCGGTTAGTGCAGCTTGCTGCTTCCCAGACTCATCTCTGCCAGGTAATGACAAAGGCGAGAGGCCATTTACCATCCCGCTCGCAGGGGACAGCTCCAGCTTCCCATCTCTTCCTGCTGCCGGGAAGGGCTCTGCTCCTCGGTTCCCTCGAGAGCAAATCTCGCTTTGCAGGAACACCCTGGCGAAGATGATGCTGCGAGCTCCGAGTCAGAGCAGTGTAATACAGAAGAGATTCTCAGAAAGCACCAGGTTTAACATCCTAAATACTAAATAACCTTCCTCCTCCAGCAGAAATGGTATTTATGGCTGAAAACAGACTTTGAGCCGCATGTGGAAAAGCTGTGCTCGGTGCTTGCTTTCTCTCCAGCATCTTCCTGCTCTCCGGAGCTACCAGTGAGTGGGGCTGAACAGCCCCAGCAAAACCAGTGGCATTAAGGTAACTTCTGTGGGAGTGCTGCCCCTCGAGTGCTTCAGATGCACCCTAGAGGAGAGAAGTGCTGCAGCTCTGACCTCTCCCAGGAGCCCCATGTGCTGGCATGTGGGCCTGGCTGCCAGCACGAGACCCTCCATGCTTCCCAAGGCATTTGGTGAGGATTTACATCTTGCCAGCTCCCCCCTTTGCCTCTTCCAATGAATCTCAGTCTTAATCCACACCCCCCTCATAGCCAGAGTCTTCCTTTAAAAGGCCTTATGCTGGAGAGCTTTTCAGAGGGGAATAATGAACCAGACGCTTTCCCGGTGTCTCTCTTTGTTTTTACAGCCGTGGGTCTCCCCTGAGGACAGAGAGCCCTTTGTGCTGCACGGGGTCCTCTTACAAAAGGGGGCTTGTGAACAGAGCATCCTCCCATTGGGTACCACACCACATGGATTTTTTTTTTTTTCCACCTGCCCTCCTAGGCATAGCCAGTGTCAAAGCCCTTTCTGCGTGTGAGGGACTGAGCCAATAGCTTTAACCTTGGAGGTTCATGATGCATGTGTGTTGGATTGCTCGGTGCCATCCTGCTGCCCACCCTCTGTCTAGCTGAAGGGTAGATGAAGGGTTAACCTGTTTGTCATCATCTCCCCTGCCCGGTTGATATTTGGAGTGAAGCCACATTTCAGTCTCTAGATGGCTGATAATTGAATAAACTCTGCATCTTGAGTGAATTTAAAACCAAGACAGGAGCTCTCCCCATCAGAAGTCGATATGCTTCCTCTAGCAGGGATTTTTGTCTGGAGTTAATGCTGCAGCTGCCTCTTCCAGGGGATGAGGACATGCTTGGGAGCAGTCAATTTTTGCCTGTTTTGAGTCTTTAAATTTAGTCTCTATGTGCATAAAGGAGATCCCTATTTCTATTTCTTGCTGAAGGTGAAATCTAGGGCTACAGCCTCAAATGCTCTGAAAACCATTAAGCCTTAAATAACTTACTGATGGTTTGGTGGTGTGCAGGATCCTTGCCCAGGTAACAGGGAAAGAAAAGCATAGGGTTGCAAATACTGCTCAGGTGCCTGACTATGCTTAGATCATGGTGTGGGTGGAGGAAAGCAATGTGATGTAGCTAATTGACATGGTAATTAAATATCGGATACTCCTCATGTACCCTTGCAATGAATCACTCTTAGTTTCAGGTGGCAAACTTTCTTACTGTTAATGTACAGATACATTATGGACCTAGAGAAAGCTGTTTCCTGCAAAGTTGAGATCAGTGATTTTCTGAGCTGTGTAAAATATATCTGCTTTGGTCCTTCTTTGTATTCACTGTTCAATGATATTCAAACAAATGCCTTTGAGTCTGGGAACCAGCAGCTTTTTGGCACGTTTTCATTTTGCAAACAGGGGCATTCACACCAGAAATGTGGTTCTAGGATTTCATAGCCACGTGGTGGGTAGGCAGGGATGCGCTGGGCAATCTGTGCCCCATCAGAAATACCTGGCACTGCTTGTGTTTCAAACTTCACTGAGCAAAATAATTGCATGGAGCTGTTTGCTGTCAGCCTGCTGCCTGCATGTTATTAATAGGAGAGATGGAATGAATAATTAGGACTAATGACTAAATTAGAGAAAGTTGTTGTCTGTTCATGAATAGTTTGCAGCGAGGCAGTGTTCAACAATTAAAATGATGGGCAAAAATGATTAATTCTCTTTGCAAATGTGCTCTCCATTGTGCCAAAACATAAACACCCACACCTGGCCCAGTGTCCAGACTTCAGCTTTCCCCAGCCCCATTTTGGCACTCAAGTTGGTGTGATGTGATTGCTGGAGGGTGCTGGGGATCCCCTGCCCCACTGAACTTCCCTACCTGGCTTTGGAGCTGTGTGTCTTTAG